CTTCTTTGGTCTTCCAACTCAGGCCTGAGCTCATCATCACAAGAGTTACAAAAAAGAGGAAAGAGTACAAGGAGGGGGGGGGGGGGGGGGGAAACAAAGAAGCGCCCAAAGAACGGCAAAAAAAAGAAAATACCCGCAACGAGAGCGATTTCAGGAAGAAAAACATTCGATGCCATGCAGAAAGGAAAAAAAAGAAAAAAAGGAAAAAAAAAAAAAAAAAAAAAAAAAAAAACAGCAATGTAACAACAACGGCCCCGCCTCCCTCTTCGTCACTACTAATACCGTTCCATCTTGTATGTCCCGCTTGCAAAGCCGTTTAAATAACTTCTACAAACAAAAAAAAGAAAAAAAACACAGATTTGGTCTCATTTAGATTAAAAGTAAAAATAAAATTTTGGGGAAGCGACCTGTTCTTTCCCTTTTTCCATGCCGTCCGCCAGCGTGCAGTGCGATAAAGCCAAGTGCTACCGCTCACCCATGCGCTGCCAAAGCTACCAGGATAGCAGCTGCGCATTCACGCCCACAGGGGCGGACAAAGGTCTGGCCTAGAACGGCTACAAACCATATTTCCGTCCAAATACAATCAGTCTGCATGGCAGAGGCCCTGCGTGACGTGGCCGCTGCTTTCTTCCCCCGAACACCTACCCGCAGCATCATTCATGACTGTCTCTGGACCAGAATACGGTCTGTATACGACATTCAAGACGACGATGGGCCGTTCCGTTTGGCGGAAGAAAGTAGCGAGTGTCTCCTCTCTTCTGAACATTAAGGATTCGTGCTGACCTGGCATGCTGACCTGACATGCTGGCATGCAGACTGACAGAACAAATTGTGCTACTCAGAATGTCCTATCAACCGTCCAGCTGATGATGTGGTAAAAAAAACAAAAAAAACGCCAAACCTTCCGTCACAGCGCCCCTTCCTTTCTCGATAATGAGACAAAAAAAAAAAAAAAAGTCGTCCCCCACAAAGATCGGGAGTAGCAGTCGCGAAAGGTGACGCTGTTTTACGGAACTGGTAGTAGACGAATGTGGAGAGCAGCAAGATGCATCGTCCCGATACATTCAAAATGTTGAATCCGGCCGAGTATATCTGGTTCAGACCACAGTGCAGGTACATGTGGAATGTTGAGTAAAGGAGCGAGGTCCTATGTCTCTATCCATATACTTACGCCGCCATATCGGCGATGCAACTTCCTTACTAATTATTTTAGTCGTCCAGTGAGTGAGCAGGACGACAAAAACGAGGAGCAGGAGGAGGAGGGTCTGCTGGAGAGAAGAGGCGGAGGAGCAGAAGGGGAAGTACGAGGAGAATGGGGAGGAAGAAGGGGTGAAAAGGAGGAGGAGGAGGAGGAGAACGAAGAGGAGGATCTGGTGGAGAGAAGAGGCGGAGGAGCCGGACGAGAGGAGCAGAAGAGGGAGTACGACGAGAATGCGGAAGTCAGGAAGAGGAGGAGGACGAGGAGGATGGGAAGAGAATTGGTCATTTCACTTATGCTTGCAGCAGGAGGAGAACGAGGAGGAGGAGGAAGGGGAGTAGGAGGGTAGAAAGAGAATTGGGAACTTGACTTACGCTTGCAGCTCTTGGACAGCCAGCACGTTCGTCACTCTCAAGTGATTACACATCCATTCCATCAACGGTCTTGTTTCCTCGTATTGGAACGGCCACTCGAAACTGTCGGGATCGAGGTGTCCATCTCCATATCCCATTTCCTCCAGAACGTTACAGAGCTTTTCTGCACTCATCTTGCTCGACTTTCTTCCACTCTCTCTCTCTCTCTCTCTCTCTCTCTCTCTCTCTCTCTCTCTCTCTCTCTCTGTGTGTGTGTGTGTGTGTGTGTGTGTGTGTATGTGTTCGCACTTCCCTGCTGTTCCGCCCGCTCTTTGGCCCCTCTCTCCTTTCTCTACCTCCTTCCACTATGCCTGCGCGCAAGCCGCGGGCGCGGCAAGGCGAGGCAAAGCGCGACGGTGAAATGGGCAATCAGCCCTCCATCAAGGGCGCGAATCCGAACCATCCCATACGCGCACTCTCACGGTTGCCACGCGCGCAAATCGAGATCAGAGGTGGACCCCACTGTCTAGCGGCGAAGCTTTGGAAGACGATTTGTGAAACCCGACTGCTTTGCGGCAAAGCTGTGGAAAACGCTCAGATATGACGTGGCAGAAGTTTCCACTCAGATATAGGGAAAGCTTTCCCTATAGGGTAACCGGGGGCCAAGTCCCACTAGCACGAGTTTGGTTTTCATTCCTAGACCTGTGCGGCCCTGTGCGGCTGGGGGTGGCACGTGCGACATCATTTCGAAGCTTTTTTGAGCATTTCTATAAGCCATGTAGGATTTCCAAAAAAAAAAAAATAGAAAACAAAAAAGCCGTGCCGAATGGTCGTGCAATGATGACAATCTGGCAGGAGTTTAGACAACTGTGCGGGCCCTGTGTTGATTTGATCCAGGCCGTAGGGACGGGTAATGAGTTGTCCTCCTAAGACAACGGGGGCCAAGTCCCACTAACAGCGGTGAGTGTCCTGAACGCGTGAATCTGGTCGTGTTTGTGGACATGTTCACAGATGGCGTTCAGTCTCGTCAACCGCACATCTCCACAAACACGTCCAGCCAGATTCGGGAGTTGAGGACACTCAACTTTAACGCTGCTCCAGCGGAACTTGGCCCCGGCATAGCGGTGGAGTGTTCGGCAGAACGTGCAGAGCTGAGCTTCCAGGGCCGCAGGGCTGACGCAGTTTGCGAAAGTCTATTCAAAGCCTGGCCGTTCAGAGGGGAGCATCTGCCCGCATAGGCACGTTCGACACATTCACAGTCACAGATGGTGTCGCGAACGTGAATTTTTGCATTTTTTGTGCCAAATCACAGTCACAGATGGTGTCGCGGACGTGTGACTGACTGCGTCCTCAAACGTCGCCTCACCGACCCACTACACCGCATATGTCAATGACGTGAAACTGAGTATATGATCATATACTCAGTCTGGAGTAGTGGAGATGTGTGTAGCATGGTGTGCAGTCCCTTTGACGCCAGTAAACCACAATTGCATTGAACACAGGCAGATTCATTTTCGGATCGAAACAGT